TTGACCATCTGGTGATGTCCATGTGTAGAGTCTTCTCTTGTGTTGTTGGAAGAGGGTGTTTGCTATGACCAGTGTGTTCTCTTGGCAGAACTCTATTAGCCTTTGCCCTGCTTCATTCTGTACTCCAAGGCCAAATTTGCCTGTTACTCCAGGTGTTTCTTGACTTCTTACTTTTGCACTCCAGTTCCCTATAATGAAAAGGACATCTTTTTTGGATGTTTGTTCTAGAAGATCTTGTAGGTCTTCGCAGAACTGTTCAACTTCAGCTTCTTCAGCATTACTGTTCGGGGTGTAGACTTGGATTATCGTGATACTGAATGGTTTGCCTTGGAAACAAACAGAGATCATTCTGTTGTTTTTGAGATTGCATCCAAGTACTGCATTTCGGACTCTTTTGTTGACTATGATGGCTACTCTGTTTCTTCTAAGGGATTCCTGCCCACAGTAGTAGATATAATGGTCATCTGACTTAAATTCACCCATTTCAGTCCATCTTAGTTCGCTAATTCCTAGAATGTAGATGTTTACTCTTGCCATCTCCTGTTTGACCACTTCCAATTTGCCTTGATTCATGGACCTAACATTCCAGGTTCCTATGCAATATTGCTCTCTTCAGCATTGAACCTTGCTTCTTGCTTCTATCACCAGTCCCATCCAAAACTGGGTATTGTTTTTGCTTTGGCTGCATCCCTTCATTCTTTCTGGAGTTATTTCTCCACTGATCTCCAGTAGCATATTGGGCACCTACTGACCTGGGGAGTTCATCTTTCAGTGTCCTATCTTTTTGCCTTTTCATACTGTTCACGGGGTTCTCAGGACAAGAATACTGAAGTGATTTGCCATTCCTTTCTCAAGTGGACCACATGGAGGTCTGACAGACCTCTGCCAGACCTCTCCACCATGACCCGCCCATCTTGGGTGGCCCCACACAGCGTGGCTTAGTTTCATCGAGTTAGACAAGGCTGTGGTTCATGTGATCAGATTGGCTAGTTTTCTCTGATTGTGGTTTTAGTCTGTCTGCCCTCTGATGCCCTCTCTCAGTGCCTACCATCTTACTTGGGTTTCTCTTACCTTGGACATGGGGTATCTCTTCACCGCTGCTCCAGCAAAGCGCAGCCACTGCCCCGACCTTGGATGTGAGGTAGCTCCTCTCGGCCGCCGCCCCAGTGTGACTTCTTAGTGGAATGTTTTTGAGGTTCATCCACAGTGTAGCATGCATTTGTGCTTCATTCCTTTTTATGGCTGAATTTTGTTTTGTTTTGTTTTTGGCCACATCACACAGCACACAGGATCTCAGTTCCCAGACAAGGAATTGAATGCATATCCCCTGCAGTGGAAGTGCGGAGTCCCAACTACTGGGCGGCCGCGGAAGTTCCGAAGGCTGAATAACATCTGATGCACACCAATAGCTTCCCACTTCAAGTATCAGAATCTCTGCTTCTCTGCTCTGAGTTCTCTCTGACTTTCTAGGAACTTGGTCAGCTTGCATGCAGAAGAGTCTGGAAGAGTGAGGGATTTAACAACCAACATGCATCCAGCAGAGGATGAAAGTCAATGACTAAACACCTCAGCTTCCTCATGAATGAAGAAAATTCAGAGGCAGGTTTTACAAGTTTCTTTGAAAGATCCCTAGTGGGATTAAGCGGCATTTTTCCACCACAGTAACCAACACATAATCAACTCCTCTCTTCCTTGTATCACTTATCCCACTCCTCAACTTGTATTTCTTGAAAGATCCCAAATAAACTTATGTTCACCCATGCCCTTCTCCTAGAAAGGAGCAGCACCCAAGAGCCCTTGCCTTAAAAGGGTCATATGATGCTTTGGAAAAACAGAGGAGTAGTATAACAGTGTCCCTGGAATCCTCAACTCTCAAGGTTCTGATTATCTTCATTCCCTTTAATGATGTCACCAGAAACCTCAATGATCCTTTACTCCCTGCAAAGTGTGATATGCCAGTAGATGTAAATTATCCAGTCTCAGAGGCACAGGACAAATAAAGTGCTTTATTGAGAAAAATGAGAGCTTCACAGATATAAACAAGTGGTTCTAGAAGTTAGACATAAAGGTAAGAAGCATAGAGATGGGATCAAAAGAGAAAGATTATGTCTAAAAAGAGGCTGTGATGGAGAGAGAGGAGACAGGTGCCAGGATTCAGTTTAGGGAAGCTCTAAGGCCTTGGAAGACTGGAAGTGGAACAGTGGAAGCCAGCCTGGATCATCTGCAGGCACATGGACAGCGCTTGGTCATGAGCTGAATCCCGGCAGTGGTTGCAGTGTATCCTTTCGCATTCAGGAATTAGAGCCTGTTGAGAATGGAGGATAGGACCAGCTGAGCTTCTAGGACTCAGTTTATTTTCCAAACTAATCTTGAAGTTATGTCTGTACATCTTTTCACAGGAGACTAAAAGGAAGTGGGTTTCCCTGGAAAGCTCTGAATGGGATGTGGCTGGGAGTGGGTTGCTGGTGAAGAGTCGTGAGGGGAAATCGATGGCCTGGAAGGGGTGATTGGTCCATCTGTCCAGCACTAGGCGGGATGTCCTGTGATCTCGCTGAAGTTGGTCTCTGAGACCTCACCATGTCTGCATCCTCTCCCACTCCTAATACTTGCCAGCTTTGATCCACAACCACGCCCCCTCCCAACTTCAGTTTCCCAGCAAGCCATGGTCCCACCCTCTGCAAGGCTCATTCTCAGCTGCTGATCGGAGTTGGTCAGTTCTTGGTCTTCACCTGGTCTGTCAAGGATGCAACTATCCTGGAATGGGCCAAGCAACACCCAGACTACCCCCTCAGAGTGGCCCTGGCAAGGATGAGAGCCTGGGGCCCCTGGGACTCACCCTTTGCGGAGCAGGCACTCTGGCATACAGCTTGGGATTGGAAGTTGTTATTGTTTCCTTTACAGCCGCCATAGATGAAGCTGGAGCAAGTATTATTTGTCTTATCATACCACCAACGATGGAAAAGAGCCATGCAGGGGCCAGCTTCTTTGGGCATACTGCATATGTCTGCAGGGAGATGCCAGAGTTGAGATTTTAAAGTGCCCACACCAAAAAAAAAAAAAAAAAGCAGCTGTTATTGTCTCCCTAGTAACTAGCACAGATGAAACCCAACAGGCTCATTTTACCTTTCACACCTCGGGAGCCCGGTTCCATTGATGTATTTGCCCATTTGTAGAGCAGAGCAGAGATGTTTGGCCATCTGCACCCCCAGGGAACATCAGGTCAGGTCCCCACCTTCCCTTCAGGTCACAGTGTCTCCCCTGTGAGTGAGGAGCCTCTGTTTTCAGGGCTGTGTGCTTAATTCGGGGCATGCATATTGACCTCCCACATTACCAGTCTTGTCCTTGACTTCAGTAAAACGAGGATGCAAAATCCCACACTGCTCATCACTCGGGGCTGTCGTGAGGTGCAAATAAGACCACCCTCAAGGCCCGCTAAGTTGTGAGCTCCTTGATTGTATCTAAATGTGCAGCTTCTAGCATGGTGCCTGGCGAGCATCGGTGCTCAATAAATACGTTCTGAATGGATACGGGAGTGCCTCAAAAATGCCAAATTATAAGCCACTTACTCTGCCCTCCAAACCATGCCAAAGAAAGAGAATATGGGGTCAGGGTCAAGGGCAAGTCCATGCAGGGAATGCAAGGGGTAGTTTTTCTGATTGTCAAGCCCCTTTTTTCCCTGCAGTTAGCTTCTGTCCTGTTATGGGTTGAGTCCCCCTCCAATTCCAATTCATACATTGAAGACCTAGCCCTCAGCACCTCAGAAGGACCCTGTTTGGAAATAAAATTGGGGTCGATATGATTAGTTAAGATGAGGCCATACTGGGATGGGATGGGCCCCTAATCCAAAATGACTGGTGTCCCTTAAAAAGGACAAATTCTAATAGATAACTAGTAAAGACCCACTGTATAGCACAGGGAACTCTACTCAATATTTTGTAATGGCCTAGATGGGAAAAGAATCTTAAAAAGAGAGGATAAATGTATTACTGATTCACTTTATTGTACACCTGAAAGTAACATAACACTGTAAATTAACTATACTCCAATAAAAAAAATTTAACAATAAAAAGGGTAAATTCTGACACCAACACACACACACACACACACACACACACACACAGGTGAACATGAAGATGAGAGCTCTCCATGGCGTGGAACACCAGAGATTGCCAGCAAACCACCAGAAGTTAGAGGAAGAGGTGTGAAACAGGTTCTTCCTTACCACTGACAAAGAATCACCCAACTTGCCAACACTTGACCCTGAACTTCTAGCCTGCAGAATGGTGAGACAATACATTTCTGCGGCTTAAGCCATCTTGTTGGTGGTACTTTGTTACAACAGTCCTAGCAAACTAACACAGGTCTGAACTAAACTATAAGTTCCCCAAGAGTCAATTCCCGCAGCTAAACAGTTAAGTCCTGTTGATTTTTACCTTCTCAAAGCTCACCTGTCTGCCCCTCTCCTTAAGTCTCAGGCTGTTGAGGGAGCCTCAAATTGATCTTCCAGCCTCTATCCTTGGCTCCTGCAATCAATCCTTCCTGCTGCCCACCAGAGAGAAGGACCTGACGGATCTGAGACCAAGCTAACTGTGTCATTCCACAGCTAAGACCTTGACTTCATGAGCAGGTCTTCCATGACCTATAGACACTTCATCATCTGGCTCCTGTGTGGTGCTCTGGCCTCCTCCCCTACCACAGTCCCCTTTTGAGCTTCAGGCTTCCACAATCTTCAACACCCACCCCCTACACCTTTCACTCCATATTCCCTCTGCCACCCTTCCATTGTTCATTAATCACACTCTTATTCTTCCTTCAAAACCCTTCCCAGACATCAACTCCACTATGGCATCTTGAACTCCATCCTACACTCCACACCCCCATAGGTGCCTAAGTCGATCCTGCATTTTTCTACTGTGCTTCTGAGTCATGTGTGTGTGTGTCTGTCAGTTTTTTCATCTTCGGTCTCATCTATGAGGTTGTGAGCTTCTATGAGGTAGTGAGCAGAGACCATGTCTGATTTCATCTTGGAACCCCATTCTTATCAGGTGGGCATGCACAGTGTAGGATTTTGCAAATGCTGAGGGTAAAACAAAATGTATCCTGACTGGAACTGAATAAGTCATTCCTTGAGCACCTACTACATGCTCAATGCTTAAAGAGACAAAAGTATGGCCTCTGTTATATAGGAGCTCCCAGTCATGAGTGCTTGAATAATGTGAGCTAACATGTATCGCATGACTATTAGATGCCAGGCATTGCCCTAAGCATTTCACCTGCATAAACATATATGATCTTTCAAATAACCTTTAACATTAGTCTTTTTGCTATCTAGAAACTGAGTCATCACAAGGGGGAAAGTGGTTGATTTGCCCAAGATAAATAGGCTGGTGAGAACTGGAGCTAAGATTTGAACTCAGGAAGTCTGGATTCAGAATTCCTCAACTATAGGCAAATGAATAACCCCCGATCCTCCTGCCTGTCCAGTCTACTCCAGTGTCAAGGTCGTGTTTGCTTCACTTCCTACATGCCTTTCAAACACATCCGCCTCTTCCCCACCCTCTCAGCTACTTAGTCCAAGAAGCCATTTGTACTTTCATCTTGAAGTTCTTTAAGTCACTCCATTCCTGCCTCGTAGGCATAGTAAAAGCCATACAATGTGCCCGCCCACCTCAGTGAATTTCCATTGATCTTAAGATCAAGGTGAGACCCTCATCCAGGAAAAACCTACCTACCAAGATCCTTTTTTCCTTTCACCATGTTCATGCTCATGTACAAAGTCTTGATGGTGGGATGCCAGAGTCCATCAAGACTTTGTACATCTACATTGCCTGTGCCTGGAAAGCCCTTCCACCCACTTTTTCCCAAAATTTGCTACCCATCCTTCTGAATTCAACTCTAGTTTTACTTTCTCAGGGAAGGCTTCCTCCACCTCCTTATAATAGGTCAAATCCTATTATAGGTCTTAGAGACACTCAACAAACATTTCTTGAATGAATGAATAAAGTATCTTTGATAGTCTTAATAGATTCAACAGACATAGAAAACAAACTTATGGTCACCAAAAGGGAAAGGAAGGAGAAGGGATAAATTAGGAATTTGGGACTAAAAGATACATCCTACTATATATAAAATAGATAAACAACAAGGACCTACAGTATAGCACATATAGAACTATATTCAGCATCTTGTAATGATTAACAATGGAAAAGAAACTGAAAAGAATACATATATACATATATATATATATGAATCACTTTGTTGTACACCTGAAACATTGTAAGGAACTTTAACTTTTGTTCTTTTTTTTTTTCAAAATTTAAACTTTTTATTTTGTATTGGAATATAGTTTATTAACAATGTTATGGTAGTTTCAAGTGAACAGCAAAGGGACCCTACATATAATGTAATACATATACATTATGTATTACATAATGCAATACATATGCATTACATTTTAATTTAAAAAAAAGAATCCTTGATAGTCTTTCTGGAGCTGAGGTAGATGAGCATGGAGTTAAGACTACATCAGCAAAGGATAGGCCCTCTGGTCTGGAGTGTTCAGCAAAGATTTCCTAATGTTAAAGTGGATTTGTATAGGCAGGCAGTGAATCTGGAGCAAAAAGCTATTTTTTTGTATTTTTAAGAAATACAAACATCTTAATTATCATTTGCAGCAACAATATTGATATATAGTGAACCAATAGTGGCCCCCTGGGGACTAAGAAAATCATAAGGGTAAAAAAAAATAATAAGAGTGGAAAGGAGCCAAGAGACTCTCCGGTTCAATCCCAACCTTATACCTAGATTTGGCTTGCGGAATCTGAGACCCAACAGGATGAAGATACTCCTTAATGTCAAACATCATACTGGGCGCAGTGATGTATCTAAATTTCAACTTTCCCAAGTCCAGCAGTCTTGCTCAGAGACCAGCCCTTAGTGAACCAGGGACAAGGCCAGCCCGGAGAAGAAAGGGAGGATATGAGTAGAGGGGTTCGTTATTGAGGCTCTCAGTATTTATTTACCTTGTTGGAGGTTTAAGCATTTTCTTCCGCAGCTGAAGAAGCAACACTTCTCATGCTTCAGGCACTTTTTGTTCTTCGAACATTCATCCCTTTCTTTGAATTGACAATTACCCTGGATTCTGGGGCATCTCTCTGAAAGAAAGTGAAAGTGAAGTCGCTCAGTCGCTCAGTCGTGTCCGACTCTTTGAGGACCCCGTGGACTGTAGTCCACCAGGCTCCGCCGTCCAGGGCGGCATCTCTCTAGTGAAGGACTAACAACCATGAGTCTGACAGTCACAGTGCCCTCGCTTCTCCAGACCCAAGGCAATCCTGGGGAGTCAGGGGAGTTTGCTTTCACTTTGCTCATCCCTAGGAGTCCTTTTCCTGGGGGTCTTTCATTCATTTCCCAGCGCTGCCTGCACTAACCTCTCTCCTGACCACCCCCCACTCTCTGCCTTCTTTCCCCTAGCCCCAACCCCTAAGGCAAGCTTTCTCAACCTAGGCACTGGAGGCATTTGGGCTAGATAATTATTTGATGGGTAGAGGAGGGTTGTCCTGGGCATTGTAGGACGTCTAGCAGCATCCCTGGCCTCTACTCACTAGATTGCCGGTAGCACTCCCTGGTTGGGACAACCAAAAAAGTCTCTAGACATTGTCAATATTCCCTGGAAGGCAAAATCGCCCATTGAAAGCCACTGGTCTAAGCCAATCTAGTCGCTTTGGGCTGGTTGAGAAAACAGTGTTTGGGAGTTCCTCTGGGGGGAGCTATTGTGCAGCAATATTGTTCACCCTGGCAGTCAGACTGGGTTTTTTAATTCTCATTCTTGGTTTACCACTTTCTCTGAACTTTGGTTTCCTCATTTATAAAATCCTTTTAGCCTTACAGAGAGGTGAGGAAGAAGTAAGGTAAAGTGTGTAAAGCTATAATCATGGTCACAGATGCCCAGTAATATCAACATTGGTTAAGTTAAACATAAGCCTAGCACTCTTTCAGCTACTTTAAAGGCGTTATCTCATATAATCCCCAGAATTGTTCTATGAAGCTAATTCTATTAATATCCCCCATTTTGCAAATGAGGAAACTGAAGCACAGGGAATCTAAGCAGAATTTGTACCCACCAAGTCTGACTCCAGATCCCTCTCTTTAAATCCCTAGTTTCAGAATGTTCAGTAAATGGTAGCAATTATCAATATTACTCTATTTGTCATTATCCAGTCGCTCAGTTGTGTCTGACTCTTTGCAACCCCATGGACTGCAGCACGCCAGGCATGGAGTATTACTGTCTTAAATTCAAAGGAACTTCCAGATAGTACCCTTCAGCCCAAAGTCAAGGAATCCCTGGGAAGGTGGGAACACTTTCTTGAACTACATTTGAAAGAATCAGGAGTTAATAGAGGTAGCATTGCAAGAAAGGGGGCTATTTTTGTCATGGGGTGAGAGAAAAGCCTCTTAGGCATTCCAGATCCTTATAACCCCTCCCCTAAATGCTAGATTTTGTGATGCCCACCCCACCACACCAGCCCCACTCAGAAAGACCTTCCATTTCAAAGGGGCTGAAAATACCCAGGTCTGGATTCTTGCATTTACTGAAGAGATCTTTCATAGAAAAGAAAAAGGGAAGAAATGACCCAAATATCTCCCTCATCCCTAACCCAGGCCCAGGACTAAGGTGGTGGAAAGCTTGTTTCTTCCTCCTAACCATATTCTTTCCCTCCAGGGCAAGGGCTGAGGCCCCAGTACTTACGGGGAAAGAACCAGTCAGTGAGAGCAGGTCCCTGGACATTCACTAGAAGGAGGGATAGCACCAAGATGCTCAAAAGTCCAGAAGACTCCATTCTGAAGGAAAGCTGTCCTGCTGGTGGTTCCAGATCGTAAAAATGTCTGGCTGTCTTTGTCCAGCCTAATCTTTCAGTGGTCAGTATCTTGGATACTTGAGAACTGGAGTCAAGCCAACCACCTCCTTTCCTGATGGGAACACTGGGTTCCTGAGGTCATCAACATGACTAGCTGGCATCCACATCCCACAGTCCTGGGCAAGGGTCTCTTATTGTGTGGCTCTTGATCATTAGCCCCCTCAGCTGAGGTCGGTCTTCTGGTCAACCAGGGCAAGTAGGCAAAGCTGCTCTCACTTTCCAGGCTAGCTTTGGAGTGAATGCCACCATCAGAGGTCTTCATCTTGATAACTTTGAGAGATGTTGTAGGAGGACCTCATTCTCTATTCATTTTCCATTGTAACTGGCACACCCCGTCTTATTTTGTTTGATCCATGTGCGTCTATTGAGCTCTTAGTATCTCTGTTTCTGTGGGTCTCCTATGGTCCCTATGTTTCTCTGTCTCCCTCCCCCACACTGGCCTCCCATCCTCCTTTATCTCTTTGGCTCGCTCCACTCAAACTCCTTGACTAAGACCACAAGTAAAGATGTTGCCCCAGAGTGATGTGGGGAGGAGGAAGCAGGCTGATAGCAGGGTTTGCAGATAACGTTCGCCAAGATTGCATTGTCCTGAGAGCAGGAGGGAAGGTCAGGAAGGTCGGAGCTTGTACAGAGCATCTACCATCTGGTGCAAACTCCCTGTTTTCTGATGGGGAACTGTGAAGGGAAGAGACCTGACTGAGAGACCACAACTCAGTAAAGGTCAGTAACACAGCAGAGTTTCTGGTTTCTAACTAACTAACGGAGGGGCTGTGGGAGAGAGAGAGAGAGGGTACTGTAGGACTTGTCAGCTTTCCTTCAGCTACAGAACCCAGAACCCCAGCCCGTCAATCAGTCCTGGTAGAGGGAGAGACAAATGTCACCAGTAGGGTCCCTGGTTTCTTCCCTAAGTAGATGTTGCACATTTGGGCAAAGCTTTATTGTCCAACTGTCTTACCTGCTGGAGAAGCTAGACAAAAACCAACATTATTATCAGTGACTGACTCTATAGACACAAAATCTAGGATCACTACAAAGTCCCTGTGGAATCTATCGTGTGGGTCTGAGCCTACTGATACTGATGCTCTTGGCCAGGACTGCCTGAGGCACTCAGACAACCTGTATTTACTGTTGGAGAGCCCCAGAGACGTTCCTTCCGTCATCACCAGGGCCGAGGTTGGGTCTGGACCAACCTTTGTAGTTCTTTGGGTGGTTGCAGGACACATCTCTGCAAAATACTCAGGGAACTGTTAAAGGGAAAAACCACGGGCCACAAATGGCATCTTTTATGCTCGTGTCTATGATACCAAGCCTAGATTTAATATATAACCTAACTGCAGTTTGACCTTCACCAGAAATGTAGTATTAATCAGTCTGTAATTCCCAGGTCAGCACCAATGAGGCAATCTGTCACGTGGGCCGTCTCCATGCGTCCCACTCCCCAAGAACAGGCAATCTGTGTGATAAGGACCCTTGATTCTCTTTCCTCCAAAAGCACATCCCGGTCTAAAAGTAATCTTTTCTTTTCTTTTGCTTATAGCTCCCTTGCCTCATAACTCTTCCTATAAAAACCCTCCGTTTCATACAACCCCTTGGAGCACCTTCTAGCACCACGGTGGATGCTACTCAATTCATCAGTCAGCTAAGAAAGCCAGTTTGACCTTCAAATTTACTCAGTTGAATTGTACTTTTATAATGGAACTTTGCAGAACAAGGTTTTTACTATTCACAAGTCCTGGAGGGTACATGACAGGCCCGAGGGCCACACAGTTAAGATCGCAAGCAGAGAAAGATGAAGAAAGTGTAGACCCGGGGATCTGCCTTTATTAGGGTTCAAGATGGAGTGTCTAACGTTTCACTCTTTTAAAAAAAACAAACAATTTCTGCCCCTCTCCCCCCCCCCCTTTTTTTTTCTGCATTGCATGGGCTCAGTAGCTGGGAATCTCTTGTGGAGCATGGATTCTAGAGCGAGTGGGCTCTCTAGTTGCGGCATTGGGCTTAGTTGCCCCATGGCATGTGGAATCTTAGCTCCCCAACCAGGGATTGAACCCACATCCCCTACATTGGAAGGTGGATTCTTAAAGACTGGACCACAGGAAAATCTTAAGACTTCAATCTTTATTGGTGAGTTTAAAGCATGAAAGCAGGAATGAGGGCATGGAAGGGAGAAACCAGGTCATGCAGTGGTTAGTCATCTAGGTTATGTGGCCAAAACTCAGCCTCTGTTCACCTGTGCTGAATAGAAAGGCAGAGACAAGAGTTTTGGGTAAAATAGAAAAGAGTAGCTTTTATTGCTTTGCCAGGGGAAGGGGTCCACAGGGGTCTAATGCCCTCAAGACTGTGTAACCCACCCTGGGCGAGATAGACAGGAGCTCTATAGTGTTCAAGGAGCAGGGCCTGATCAGCTTGTGGACCATCTTCAGATTGACTGGCATCCAGGTGAAGTTTCAAGCATCTTCAATGTCCTGATTCAACCAGTCTAGGGTCTATATTCTTGTGGTGAGCAGTTTTCATCTGCTTCCTGTAAAAACAACTTAGGAACTTGTGCCAGGCCTTCATCTGTATCTTTCAAGGAACTGGGAATTCTGGAGTTCTGCTTTGTGACAGAATTATAGTCAACAATGTTACCAGTTCCCCAGTCAATAGCTATTTTTGTTTCTGCATCTTCACATTTCCCAACTATTAACTCTTGAGTCAATATTTTACTTCAAAAGACAAGGACACAAAAGGGCTTGAACACAGTTTCAGTTCTTGCCCTTTCTAAGAGGGAAACTTCACAGAAGGGGGCAGCCTGGCTCCTTGCCTGGTTGTTTTGCTGTGTCAAATAACTGGCAATATGTTTATTCAAGAGGGATGTCGTCAAAATGGATGCCCCAACAATCAAAATCTTAACATCAGGCACTACAGAATACTTTCCCACCAACTACATGATCTCACCAGATCCCACAAAGAAACTAGGGAACAGAATTTTTAATGAACCGCCAAGATGTCTTAAGCAGTAGTGTCCTTCTTATTCTACTACTTGCATTCTCCCAAACTCAGCCCAGGGGAATAGAAAGCTGAAATACTTAAGTGGGAAAACTCTGGAGGCCCATCAAGTTCCATTTCCTCAAATTACAGCTAGAGATCATATGGTCCAGGGAAGTGAAGATGCCAACTCAACGTCACCTAGCAAGTGAGTGTCAGAAATAAAGTTAGGAGAGAGTTGAGTTCCTAAGCCCTTGCTAGAGGCCATGAGAGAATCTTCTGCATTGGTGTGGATATACTGTTTTAGTAGAGAGTTGAAGGTAGAGCGGAATGGTGAGTCTAAAGAGGAGGAAAGTAATATTTTAGTGGTGACACAGGCTAAAGACCAGGGCTTCCCAAGTAGTGCAACGGTAAAGAATCTGCCTGCCAATGTGGGAGGCGCGGGAGACGCAGGGTTGGGAAGATCCCCTGGAAAAGTGAATGGCAACCCACTCCAGTATTCTTGCCTGGAGAATCCCATAGACAGAGGAGCTTGGTGGACTACAGTCCACGGGGTTCCAAAGAGTTGGACATGACTGAGCGGCTGAGCAAACACAGAGAAATTAAAGGCCAGCAGAGTCTGTAAGTGCCCAAGTGGTTCCCAGGGTTCCCAAATACGACTAAATTTTTCTCTAAATTTTCTTAAAAATCTCAGAATTTCTGGTTGCTCTATCCCATTGTGTCTTGTTAAATTTTCAGCCTTATCCAAAAGTCTCACTTTAGAAGCAGGTGAGATGAAATTTACATTTTGGGGGCCTTGGATCAATGTTGCTTGGGGACCATTCCTTCATCTAATTTCTTGGAGAAGGCTGAGTAAGGATCCACCTGGATTTTTGTCCCTTCTTCCCTATGGCGTCTCACCAATGGGCAGTGTGCCCTACCTCTGCCTTAGCCACACTTCTGTCCTAGGGCCGATCTTGTGCTAGGAATGAGGGACTCCAAAGGACACCAAGGTAGATAGCCTCTACCTGGAAACTTCTGCTTCTTCACTAGACCAAGACTTATCACATGGTGACTTCCAGTCCCTGGCTTTCTATCTTGTTCCCTGTGCCTCTGACTTAATCACTGAGTGCCATGTTGGTTTCCCAAAGAAACTCTGAGCTCCTCTGAACAGGTCTGCGTCTAGATCCTAGTGCTTACATTCTTTTAATCTTATTTATTTAATTTATTTTATTTCCGGTTGCACTGGGTCTTCATTGCTGCTCTCGGGCTTTTCTCTAGTTGTGGTGAGTGGGGGCTACTCTTCACTGTGGTGTGCGGGCTTCTCAGTGTGGCGGTTTTTCGTTTTGGGGAACGCAGGGTCTAGGTACATGGGGTTCAGTACCTGTAGCTCAAGGGCTCGGTAGTTGTGGTACACAGACTTAGCTGCTTCACAACATGAGGAATCTTCCTGGACCAGGGATTAAACCATGTCCCCTGCGTCGGTAGGCAGATTCTTATCCACTGTGCCTCCAGGGAAGTCTGGGATTTGCATTTTTTTTAAATTTATTTTATATCAGAGTACAGTTGATTAACAATGTTGTATCAATTTCAGGTGTATAGCAAAGTGATTCCTAGTACATATGCATGTATCTGTTCTTTTTCAAATTTTTTTCCCATTTAGGTTATTAGAGTGTATTGAGCAGAGTTCTCTGTGCTATACAGTATGTCTTTGTTGTAGAACTTCATATTTAGAACATGAATAAGCCCAGAATAAATATTCAGTACATTCTGTTGAATGAGCTATGTAGGTGCAGGATTGGTAAGTGGACATGTGGATGGATAGATGGACCAAGTTGTGATAAATGGGAAGGTGGTTGGATTGGCAGGAAGAAGAAAGGGTGAGGGTAGCATGAATATTTAAGTGCATGAATGCATGGATATGGATGGGTTGATGGATGGCTGGGCCAAGAAGTAAACTGGATTGGATAAAAGGATGGATAGGTTAGTGATGCGATGAATGGGTCTCTTGATGAAAGTTGTTTGAATGAAAAGCATGAGTGATTGGTGGGTGTAAGGAAGAAAGATGGATGTAGAAATGATGGAGAAGTACACTGATGGATATAAGAGAAATGTGTGAGTGTGAAAGATAAGTAGGTAGATAAATAGGTAGATGGAAGAAAGATTGGATATAAATTGGGCAGCTGAACCGGTAGAAGGTAGATGAGTGAGAAGGGTAAGTTGGATGGATATATGGGTGAAAGAATGGGTGCAGAGATAAATTAGTTGGAACGTATGTCAACAGAGGGCAAAGTG